TACTTTTTGACTTCACTAATGGGGTGCCACTGGTGGGCATCTTTTGTTCATTCTTCAACCTGAGCTGGGAGTCTTCCTTGGAGAAGAAAATTTCTCCTAGGAGCTTGTCAATTTGGGGAGTTTCCTAGGTTTTTATTTGCTGATTCTTGCCAAATACACACACTAAACACAAGCAGCACACCAAGACAAACAAGCAAAGTTGCAATTTCCCCACTTGAGTGGAGGGCTTTTGCATTGGCTCAGAAGAGTTGTGACCGAGGGGGACGGCTGGCCTTCAGGACAGAGAGTCCCTCAGTAGAGACTCCATTAGAGCATTCTAGGGAATCCCCCAGAGACTGCCAAGGGAATTGGGGTCCCTTCTTTGGCCTCCTGGTTGGCTTGCCAACTGTTGCAATTGAAATTCTGAGCTCATTCAGTTTATTGGTAAGGCTAGCAGTTACCAATAAAAGGAGACTTTAACTCCTCAGCAAGCCAAAAGACCCTGAATGAAGGTGGACTGATCATTTTTACAGTCAAGAGGAGGAGCAGCAAAAACAACAACAACAACAACAACAGAAGGCTGTATCATAGCTGAGGAAAACAATATGATTGGTTAGAAAACGTGAAACAACATAGGCATAGGGTACAATGTGATTGGATGGAAATTAGGAATTTGGGGCTAGCCACACCTCTTTCCATTTTGTCGCTAGGCAATTCTGATTGATTTGGTCCACCTGCAAGAATAATTAATGATATGTATATAACAGATTTCCTGTAATTGCTCAAGAATAGCTAGGTGTAGAGGTAACGGATTTATTTTAATTAAAGTGATTTCTAGGGAAACTGAACTTTTAAATTTAACTCAGATAAGGAGCCTAAAGTTCTAAACCCATAAACTGCTGAATTTTAACTCAGAGACAAAGAAACGTGACTTAGACAGTTACACAAAATGTCAGTATTACTCCAAATTTGGACTTAGTTCTAGAAAGAGGTAAGGCTTTGAAAAAGGTGTTTTCAGGATTTCAGACCAGGATACAGATTAAACACTGACAAGGTTTTCTATTCCAGTGGGACTTCAGACTAAAGTACTATCCTGATATGATTTTGTACTATGTAGTATAAAGAGAGAACAAGGTGGAAAAGTGAACTTCACTATCCTTCCTCATTGACAGTAAGATTAAGTACATCTCAAAGAGGAGGTAGGCCAAGCTGAACTTATTGAGAACTGTCCATTAGATGACATATGTATTTATGCCATAATGTATCTAGACACCTCATCAAGCTCCTGTCTTCCCGTTTTGGAAACTGTTTGTTAAGATGCAGAACTTGATGAAGGTGCCTCAGAATCATCAGATATTTTATTGAGCAGTTAGGTGGCACAGTGGATAGAATGCTGGGCCTGTAATCAGGAAAACTCTTCTTTCTGAGTTCAGATATGACATCAGACATTTAGTAGCTGTGTGACCCTGGGTAAGTCACATAACTCTGTTTCCCTCAGTTTCCTCATCTGTAAAATGAGCTGGAGAAGGAAATGGGAAACTACTGTAGTATCTTTGCCAAGAAAATCCCAAAAGGGGTCACGAAGAGTCAGACACAACTGAACAACAACAATTATATTATGCTCAATAAATTAGCAGGAGGTATGTTAGGATTTAAAGTATAGAAAAATGTGTTAGCTTATCAGAGACAGTTCTTCTGAGATTTCAGAGAAAGGTCAGGAGCATAGATACAAAAATGGGGATATGTCAAAATGGAGAATGAGAGAGCTCGTGAGGGAATGGTTGTTTTCTTACTAGGGAAGTATAACAGTCATGTGTAGGTGAGGGTAGGCAGAAAAGAACAGAAGAAGGGAAAATGTTTGGAATAAGGCCTTGATCAAAGAGTCATGGTGGATGAGCAGAAAAATTCTTGCCAAGGCCTGACTGCATTATACATTCCAAAAACATGAGTCTACAGTGAATCAGTTCTTAAAGTCTAGGACTCTGAGTTTTTTTGCAACATAATGCAGAAACAGGGAGCAGATTAGATGGGAGCTGTAATGTAAGGAATTGGCAAAGTAGGTTTTTTCTAGTCAAAGGATTGTTTGGCTGAGAGGGTCCAGAATAGTGGAGAGAGGTCAGGAGATCATTCAGTCCAGTGGATCACAACTAGCTGGATGTCATTCAAACATCAGTCCATATGTAACTGAATGTTAATGACTCAGAATAACTGGCACCTTTGATGTTAGCTTGTGGGGAAATGAGCTGCGAGCTGCAGTGTTAGATCCTGCCAAAATCAAGTGTAATTCATCAGTCACTGAAAAGTCTTTCAAGTAGTCTTCACGTCTCAGTTGAATATAGATGTGTCTCACTTTATGTGAGTCGTACCACAGACCCCTATTTAAAGTGACTACCTAAAAGTTAGGTAATGCAAATTTGCCCCTACCTATGCACTTCACTTAATCTGTATAATAAAGGCATACATAAAATAATACCTTTACTCAAGTCATTGGGAACTGGAGAAGAGAGAAGGGGACTGCTGGGAAACAGTGCAGGATCTACCGAACTTTGGGCCTTGAACAAGTGATGGGGACCAAGAGTGTGTATCTTTTTATTTCCATGATTTATAGAGGAGGCAGGGAGAAAAGCAAACAAAAACTTCCTCTAACCAGCCAGGCCCTGTGGCAGCTGAAATAGCCATCAAGCAACTAGTGTGTTTGTGCTTATGCCCAATTTATTACCGTTAAACATGGCCAGTATTTTGACTCACATCAGTTTGGGAAGTAAAAAAACCCAGAGTACTTGGGGTGACAGGGAGTTGCCCCCTTGGCTTGCTGCATCAGGGTTGGGCCTAGAGGAGTTGGGGGATGACAGTGTAGCCCTGGGCCTGAATGGGACACTCTCCCCTCCGGCCACTGGCCACCCAGCACTTTAGGAAAAACAGTCACCCAAATTCTGAGCCCTGCAGCTGGAGCTAAGCAGACAGCTCTCCAGCACCTTATCCTGGGTTTGGGAAGGATGCAAAGCAGCCTACTTCACCTGAGTCATCCTCCTTTTCCTTTTCCTTTTCCTTTCCTTTTCCTTTTCCTTTTCCTTTTCCTTTTCCTTTTCCTTTCCCTTCTCCCTGCCCCCCCCCCCCAAGCAAGGTGAGCCTCCCAGTATGGAGCTATACTTCCTTTAACCTTCTGACTTCCAGAATGGAGTTGGGGCTGATAGAAAGCCTAGGGAGGAAAGTAGAGGATAGAGATGAAAGAAGGGAGCAGGGACAAAGGGCAAACTGTGGGAGAGGGCCCTGGGTTGTAGTTACTGACTGAGCTGGGATTGGAATGCAGTTGTTTTTTTTCCCCCAGAATTCTTAAGCCAAAATTTGCATAATGTGAATTTCTGTAAAGGGAGAACTGTCTGTACTTTTTCTCCAGCACTGGGAGATACCACAAATATTCTTTCTAAGAATTTGCCACTCCAGGAGAACTGATCTTCTTCTCCAGGAGAACTGTCTTGTAGGTAGCCCAGTACAACTTGAAAATTGCAAATCTGATCCACAGTGCTAGAAATCCACTAGATCACTGAGGCAAGACCACAAGGTTCCCAAGCCTACCTTTTTATGAGCCAGATTCCCAAGAACCCAATATCTCAACCCTCTAGTCCTGGGAGTGGGTTCTGTGGCACATAGAGGCAGTTTGAAATACATTTCATGGAATTATTTGTCTTTATAGTTATGTGAGTAAGCAGTGTAATAAATAATAGGATACCCAGAAGATTCAGCTAACTTCTAGTCATTGTAATGATCTTCCCTGATTTTTTATGACCTTAACATGTAACTTCCATGATGCTTAACCAGAGAGAATCAGAATACATCTGTGTTCATTCTCTCTTTTTCTTTCTCATATATATATATGTGTGTATATACCCTATGATATACCATATATCTAATATAGATTAATAATTTTACAACATTCATAACTCTGTAGGGTAGATTGTTGGATAGATAATTTTTCCATTTACAGGGTGGAGAACTGAGGTCACAAAGAGGTTGATTTAACTGTAGTAACAAAGGAGGTCATTGGCAAAGCCAGAAACAGAGTCTGGGTCTCCTGATTCCCTGAGAGCCTTCCAAAATCTCCACAGAATCTCAGCATTGTTGTTGTTGTTTGTCTTTTGCTCTTGAAGAGGACCAATGACCTTACGAGGTGATGTCTTGACTTGCACATGAATTGGATTTAAGTGAGGCAGAGCTGCTCAAAGTCATCAGCCTCACTCTCCTCCAGAGCCATCGAAGTCCAGTGTCAGGACAAGTGGCAAGGCCTGGGGATCTCAGGGACATCTACTCCAGCCCATCCTGAACAGGAATTCCTCTACAGTAGACCCAACAAGTTGTCATTCAGCCTTTGAAGACATCCAGTGAGGTGGAACCTATCACCTCCTGAGACAGTCCATTTTTAGTTAGCTTTATTTAGGTAGGTTTTTTTTGTATCAAGACTGTCTTTCTTTTTGCGACTTTTACCCATTGCTCTGAGTTCCTGGTCTGAAGGACCAAAGAGAACAAGTCTAATCCCTCTGCCACCCAGTAAACCCTTCAAATGCTAGAAAACTGCTATCATGTTGCCCACCTCTGCCCCTCCCAAGTACTCTCTTCTCCAGGCTAAACATCCTTCATTCTTTCAACTGGACTTTATATGGCATGGACTGGAGGCCCTTCACCATGCTGGTTGTCCTGGACACTCCAGATTTTTAGGTCTGATCACATGTAGATGCATACTAAATATTAGGCATCTAGTCCTATATTTAGGTGCATTCCAGTAAGCTGAAGAAATTTGACCAATACATTTATATACCAGTTCTTTTTTGGAACAAAGATAAAGATCAGCTAATAGGCTTACTCAGCTTCTGATTCTAAAATACTGTTAATTCTTATTCCTGCACTGGTGGGAGTCATGTTGGTGGATCATTGAGTATTCAGTGCCACACAATGTGATGCACATTCTAAATAGTAGCAGGAGCAGCTGTTACCATGACTGATGTGTTTTAACTCTTCTTCCTTAGCTTTCCGGGCCCTCCTACAGATCCGGGCAGTGAGGAAGAAGCCAGGCGCCCTGTCCCCTGTCTCATTCAGTCCTGTTTTAGCACAGAGCATGGACCACGATGAACACTCTGTAAGTGACTCATAGTTGCCTGAGCCATTAGAAAGAGGGGACTCTTAGAATGGCTTGTAGCTTTAGGGCTTAGAGAGAGGAGCAAGACCTAAGAGACTGGCTCACTCCACAGAAGCCTAGGACTGTCTGCATATGTCATGCCAAAACATCCAGGTTGTCATCCAAATGTTTCTAAATAACAGTTACAGGTCAAGCAGAGCCTCTGAGTTGTATGGGGCCTCAGTTTCTTTGTTAGGACTGGTCTCTTAAGTCTCAGCTGGGATGAAATGATAAATAACTGTGCTTGGAAGAAGCCTTCCTTTCCATTGTATCTGGCAATTAGTGAACACCTGCTGTAGCATATAGCTTTAGTAACATAGTTTGAGGGACTGGGCCTCCTGACAGAACTCTCCTTCCTGTCCTCAAACAAGCTAAGTGGCTCCCAGTAAGTCTTGTAATAAGATGTTTCATTTCTTCCCTATGAAAGAGCAGTGATTAAGGTCTGTGATTCTCTCCCCGCTCCCTACCCCTGAGTGCCTCTACTGAATATAGGGAAACAATTGCTGCTGACAATCCAGATGCTGTTAATATCGCTAATGCAGGTGCCCCTCCCTTAAATCAAACTCTGAAAATGGAAGTATCAGGAAAGAGCAGAGCAAAGTGTGAAAATTAAGGGATCTCATGAGACCTGAGATCTAGCCCTAGTTCTGCACCAACCATCTGTGTGACTGTGGGCAAGTCACTTAACTTTCTCTGGGCCTCAGTTTCTTCTTCTGTAAAATGAAGGATTTGAAATAGGTAATAGCTCAGAGGTGCTTTGAATTAAGGAGGCTGATAATTGCTTTACCAAAGTGTTCTTTGCTTTACAAAGCATACCAATGTCACATAGCAGTCCATTCTGGTACAGTAAATAGGGTTTGATTTTCAAAGACTCAGATTATATGCAATTCTCCAGAAATGTATGTTAGCATAAAATGAAGTACATTTGTTTGATTAACCCATTTTTTTTTAAAGATCTTTGACATTTAACTGAAGGACTTGGTGACCAAATTGTCTTTTACAACAACCCAGTGTTTCTGCTGCATGTAGTTGAATGTTAGAATGTTTGTTCCATGGCTTGATGTCCTGCTACTTGAGTACAGGGATGGGCATCTTCCCATCAAGGTGATAAATTAAAGGGACACTGTCAAGCAATGCAGGCCTCAAATTTAGATTGCATATATAAAAAAAGTCTCTGCACCCTTCAGGTTAGTGTCCAAAGCTTCACTTCTGCCTACCTTCCCCTAAAGAGGTTCAGAGAGTTTAATAAATAAAATCCATATTCTTTGCCATTTACCTGGCATAAATTATTTGTTACTTTGGGCAGAAATAAGGCTGCTCTTAGATAACATAATACGAGCAGAAATGAGTAAATTCCTCAAGTGGGTCAGTAATGAGAATGTAGGGTGGTGGGGATTGTGTTTAGGATTGTTTTTGTTTTTAATAATTAGTCTTATGTCATAAACTCCCTGGCTAGAGGAACTGACTAGTTCTAGAGTGAAACTGACCAGCATGTGTTGTCATTCAGTGCCCCAAGGATACCTCAAAAGTGGGTGGGGGAATGTGTGGGGGTGGGTAAGGAGTCTATCACATAAATAGTCATCAGAAAATTGGGAAATTCCCTTTCAGAAAACTCTAGCGTTGTTTGAGGGATGTTAGTTATTGTAAAATATATGATTTTTATCTTGACAGTGTCCCTTTAAAAAATCAAAGTCGAACCCTGTCTCATTGGCCAGCAAGAAACCTAAAAGGGAAACAGTAAGTGTTTGGTCTATATGGCTACGTTATTGCCCCATCCCCCAACCAGAAAACAGACTCGTATGCAAAGCCATTCTCTTCCCCAAACATTAGGATTTACTTGTGTAGTGTGTTTTCATTTACTTAACCCACTAAAGCAGGATCAGTTCCCTGTAGTCACTCTGTGCATGCACAGGAAGAGAGCTTTCTGAACCAAGCTGCTCCTTCAAAAGACGAGACCAAAGGCCGGTAGGCACAGGGGCTCCTTCCTGCTAGGGGCCAGTTTGCCAAGCCATGAGCTACAAATTCTCTTGCCAGCTTTGCTAAGCTTCTTTTGTTTCTTTTAAATGCTCTTGTTCACCTTTTTTTTTCCTGCTGGCAAATGGAACTAATGTTGAAGGTGGAATTAATATTGTTGCTTTTTTATTGCAAATGGCATTTCTTATAAGTGTTTGTTTCTCATCGCCCTGCTTTCTGCACTTGGTATTTGAATTTACTGGTTTTTGTCTGTTTAGTCTAAGGACTTGAATTTTCCCAGATGTTCTTTGCAACTTGGAGAATAGGATAGGGCAGCCGAGACATATTAATGGCAGTTAGAGATAAATTTCATTGAAATGTCACCTGAATTGCTGTGTCTCCTAGTGGTTATTGATCAGATAGGTTAACTCCAAGCTGGCTTCTTGAAAGGAAAAAGTCTAACTTCAAAAGTTGTAACTGTTAATTAAAAATATACCTGTAGGAATTATTAGGAGAATAGGTATCTACCTTTAAAGATTAAATCACATATGAAAAAGAGGATTCCCAAAGCAAGGCATATTAAAAGGAAAAAATACAAAAGAATTTATCTGGCGCACCAAATGCTAAACTGACCCAACAGATTAATAGGAGTGTTATCTAAGCAGGAAGGGAGTGTGCCCTTGACTCCCCACTGCCTGCCTCCCTTTTTTATTTCCATTTTCCATGCCATGGCCCTTCTTATTTCCCTCTTTCCATCTCCTTGAAAGACCTCCCTTGTTTCCGAATGAGGCTGCTGGTCAAACCCAGAAAAGCAGAGGGGGTGTTGTGTCCTGCTCCATATCTCCACCCTATATCAGTCACATCAGCCTTTTCACCCCAATACATGAGCTCTTTGCCCTGTCTTTCAAAGGTTTGGGGTAGGTGGAGTGCTCTGATCTCAAGCATTTTGGCTGAAACACAGGAGTTTCAGCTGTATTTCAGGCTCATTTGATATGTACTTAGAATCTCCTGCTTTGCCCTCCCAGCTCTCCTGTGTTCTCCATTCTTCTACTAACTCTCACTAGTTGTCCATTCTTTCTCTGATTATAGATACATAAAACCAGGAAGGAGCTCTTAGCCCTAGCCTGAGGATGAATTTTCATATATTCTTCAGTAAATCTCACCTTTTTCCTATCTAGCTTGATGCCATTTAGCATGGCCTCCATCTCTGCTTAGTTGCAGGTAGCCTCAGGGAGGGCTAAAGTTAAGGGTTAGTGATACAGTGATCTTCTCAGAGAGTAAGGGACAACATAGATGGTCTAGAACCCACATTGTCATCCTTCAGGTGGAGGAGGTATTGGCTTCCTGCTTCACCTTGGTCCTGTATTTGTTGTCCTTTTTATAAGCACTCACCTTTTTATTCCCTTAGCAACTAAAGGGACCTGCTTTTCAGCAGCATTCAAAAGGGACCTGCAGGGAGGGTGATTTCCATATAAGTGAATACAGTTCAGGGTGATGTCATAAATAAGAAAGCACTTTCTGAGGCCCCAGTAAGGAGTAATTTCTAGCTAGAATTGGATAGATGGTTCCTTAGAAAAGTTACATTCTTAGAAGTATGATATCATTGGGGTACAGGGCTATCTTAAGGCAGGAATCTCATCTTGGGCCCCATGTCTTAACGGCTACATAGTATTCTAAAGGAAGGCCAGCCTTATCCTGAACTCTCCCTATAATTCACAGAACTCTGACAACATCCCACCTGGATATGAACCCATCTCCTTGCTGGAAGCTTTGAACGGCCTTCGCTCCATCTCTCCAGCTATTCCTTCAGCTCCCCTTTATGAAGAAATCACTTATTCAGGGGTTTCTGATGGGCTCTCTCAGGCTGGTTGTCCTCTTGCTGGGCTTGATAGAGCCTTGGAGAGCAGCCTTCAAAAGAGCAAGCCAAACAAGTCTCCAGACAGGTCAGTATCATTGGGCATGTAGGTAGTGTTCCGAATAGCTTAGTGGGCTAGAGCCTCCAACATCTTCTGGGAAATGGAATAATGTGTGTTCCTCTGCAGACAGATAAATCCTGGGATGCCCAAGCAACTAAGCTGATTTTTTTGTCATCCTTGTATCATTCTAGCACATTACGTTCCCCATCATCTCCTATCCATGAAGAAGATGAAGAGAAGTTGTCTGAAGATTCCGACTCCCCTCCCCCACTAAGTGGTGCTGAGCTAGTCCTTCGGGAGAGCAGCTCACCAGAGGTATGTCAGATTCCCAGCCTGTAGCTGACTGAAGAGGTCAATCACTGTGAACCTGTCAGCCTTGTTCTGGGAAGCTTGCCTTAAGATTTTATCTGACATGGTAGGCTAAGGGGTATTTACTTAGAAAAAAAGCAGGCAATTGTTATTTGTTAATCATTATTTAAAGTGGGGATGAATGACAATAACCATAAGTCCTAAAGTTATTAACCTTATGTCTCCATTGTTCTTTTTACCCTGGTAGCTTTTGGACTTGGCTAAGGTGTAACTCTGTTCTAGGCTCTAGGCCATTGATAACAACTCGTGTGAGTAACCAAATGAGGTAGATTTCTTTTTCTTCTCTCTTTTTTTTAAGAGCTTCATAACTGAGGAAATTGAAGAGGTGCCATCTCTAAAGCAAGGTAAGCATCTTCTACTTCCATCAGAATTATAATGTTTGGAGCATGCACTGGTTCTAAATAAGTGCTATACAAGATTCTTTGTAGTCTTAGGATGGCAATGAAACTATTCTAGGACTTTGATTGTCCTCATCCATACCCTCTGTTTGGAAAAGTTCTAGTGTCACAGCAGTCTGTTACCCTGGAAAAAACCTCTGGCCAAGCAGACCTTTTGTATGTTACCTTATTAGAGTGCTCATTAGTGATATCGCATCTCTTGGGACAGGGCTATCTGAGACATCATTTATTAAAACCAATCTCAATCCTAGTGAATTCTCTAGGGTTTTCTCTGCCTTACCACGAGGGAAAAGGTACTGTCTCCCTTGATTGTCCATGTCAGCTTTGGCCCGGTAGAAATAACACACTCTTGGCTTACACTAATTGATACTCCTTTAGGGAGCATTTAGGCAGTTTTCTCAGGTTTTCAGCCATAATGCTCTGATAGTTGGGAAGTCTTATTGATTCTCTTTCCTCAGCATCTCTTATATTCATCCTTATCTCTCTCTACTCATACCACAACCACTCCAGTCCAGGCCTGTATCACCCCACACTTGGACTGCTGCAAGTAGCCTCCAAATTGTTCACACATTCCACTTGATTAAGAAATATTTATTGACTAACTGATTCAACCACCAAATTTATATTGTTAGAGTATAGATCTGACTGTATCACTCCTCTGCTCAGGAACCTTCAGTGCCTGCCCGTTTTCCTTTAGAATAAAATGCAGATTCCTCTGTTTGGCATTTAAACCCTTTCACAGTCTGGCTCCAGCCTGTATTTCCAGAATTTCTCCCCTTCTTGTACATCGGGCACTCAAGCCAGGGCTAGGCTGGCCTGTTTGCTGTTCCTATACAATATTACATCTTCCACATCTGTTACTCTCACTCCTATGCTTGGACTGCTATCCCTATTGACTTCTGCATCTGGGAATCCCTAGTGCCTTACAAAACTCAACTCAAATGCTACCTCTTTTAATAACCCTCTTCTAGCTTCCCCTCTTGTTAGGGTTCCCTCCAAATCACTATGCATTTCTTTTGTATATATTCCAGATTTACTTATATGAAAATGATGCACCTCCCTAGCAGAATGTAAGCTTCTTGAGGGCAAGGAATGTTTCACTTTTATATTGTGATCCCCAGGACCTAGCCCAATAGCTTGGATACAGTAGGTACCTAATAAGTAATTGTTGATTAATGATAGTTTGTCAAAGAATAAATTGGTTCTTTAAGACAATTCTGAAAGGAGCTTCTACATGTTACCGCAAACTATGGCTGTGGATTGTATATGGTGTCAGTAGGGTTAATGTGTAGCTTGGTTTTGTTAAACTGGTTTTTTTCTTCTTTGTTATGAGGGAAGGCTCACCCTAAGGAGTGAGGGGAAAGAGTGTATATTTGGGAGTGACTATGATGTAAAAACAAAAGGCATCAATAAAATTTGAAAAATAAATAAAAGCAAATCTGCTAGAGTTTGAAAGCCAGTGGGAATACTGACTTTAGTGGGTAAAGATGTAAGGGAGCTTTATTTATGAGCTCATATTTAAGGCTCCAATTACAAAGGAATTTCCAGTGAGATATTTAAATGAACATTGTATCCCCTATTACATTAAATATTTAACAAAACACAGAAATATCACTTTTAATGCTTTTACACTGAGATTTCTCCTTCCATATTTATCTAGGTTTGAAAATTATGTACTTTTCTTGTTTGGCTATGAGAACTGCATTCTGACCCTGGCTCTGCTACTAAATGGGCCTGTTTGCCTTGGGAAGATATCTCTGGGCTCTATAATGGAGGAGGAATTGTACCAGATGATCCCCAAGATCATTTAAAGCCTTAACATCCTGTTCTAAATATCTGATACTCAGTTTCATTTCCTGCATTGCTCTGGTTATGCATAAAAGTGTGCATTGACCTTTCCTGGCCACCAGAGGGCCAGGAGAGACTGTAGCATTGCCCAGTGGACTAAGCCAGTAAATGTTCCAAATGCTCATGATCTTGACCTCTTTCCAGAAGCTTATCACCTTCTCAACATAAACTGGGCTCCTGCATTCTCCTTTCCTCTGTAACTCACAGGCCCCGGGGGCCCACAGTGCTCAGAAGGCAAGAATGAGAGCTGTTTCCCATTCTCCTGCCGCCATGATGTTTGCTATCTATGAAAGGAGGGATTGACCTCCTTTGCTCTGGCTATGTATGAAGTAGTGTCCAGGCTCACTCCCCTGTTTCTTAGCAGCCTCCTCCACCCCTCAACTGGTATTGTTTCAGAGAGAAACCAAATGTAGTTCAATTAAATCATTTTCCATTTAGGTCTCTGGCCTTTCTGTAAAGATAATAATAATCCACATTCATGCTATATCATACAATTTGTTATTATATCCATTATATCCCATTTCAGTTTGACAACAACCCCATAAGGTAGGCAGGGGAAATTTAGTTTTAATACATTCATTTCACAGATGAGCAAACTGAGGTGTGGAGAAGTAAAGTGATTTGTCTAAAGCCCCTTTGGCTAGTATAAGACTGGGCCTTAAGCCCAGGTCTTCTTACTCTTAAGTCTAGAGTTTTTCCACTATAGTTCTCTGCCTTTTTACATGCTAAATTCAAATCCAGTTCTAAAATATTTTTTGAGATAGTCTTTGTTGAAAATACAATAAATCCAAAGCCAAGGAAAAAGCAAAAGTAGTTCAAAAGTAATGCCATCATTTAAGCATAAAAATACATTTGGGAGTTGTTGTCAAGGTGCAAAAGCATATTTTGTAGTCTGTAGCAGAAAGAACAAGGAAGTGCCAAGCCCTTTTCTTTAGTTACAGTCAAAGTTTAGTATACAATAGAAGTTTAATAAATGATAATTATCTTTTAATATTCTCTCTTTTCCTTCTCAGGGACAGCTAGGTGGTACAGTGGATACAGTGCTGGGCCTGGAGTCAGGAACACTCATCTTCCTGAGTTCAAACCTGGCCTCAGACACTTACTGGCTATGTGACCCTGAGCAAGTCACTTAACCTTGTTTGCCTTAGTTTCCTCATCTGTAAAATTAGCTGGAGAAGGAAATGGCAAACTACTCCAGTGTCTTTGCTGAGAAAACCCCAAATGAGGTCATGAAGAGTTAGACATGACTGAAAAATGACTGAACCACTTTTCATTCTCATGTGTTACCCCTGTTACAATATATCTTCAGCATATCAGCCTACCTTGCCTGCAGCCAGACCCCAATTTCTACCAATCTTCCCTTGATTTAGTAGGGGCATCCTGACATTTGATAGTAAAGTGTCTTCTTTTACATCCAAAGCAAGGAAAGGAGAGTGAGGAATAAGCTCTCCTTTTTACTGATAACCAAATAAACAGTCTTCCTATCTTAAAATACCCGGTAATGACTTGCTTTTTGTAGAATTTTTATGAGCATTGCCACTACCCATCTAATGTAACCCTAACCACCCACATTTCTTCCCCCAAACACTCCCCTCCCTCCACCAAGACTAGGTTACTAAACAAGGTTGGAGAGGAAATGGATTTATTCCTTTTTATCTAGAAACCATAGTCCATTTTTAAAACTCTAACCATTATTCTACAAACAATCTTGGAACTCTGTGTTAGAATAATATGGAGAATGGGACGTCACTTTCCTTGTGATGTCAATCATGCTGTTTCCATGTAAATAGTCAAAAAAGAATCGCCTTATCTCAGTTGGGAGAAAAGGGAAAGACATGAGGAGGGGAACTGTTGGCAGTCATGCCCGGGCCTGTGTTCAGAAGTCAGAATGCTGTTCAGACAGGAGTAGTGGAGCATCTGCTTGTAGAATCAATGAGTCCCCAGCTGCCCTAAAGTCTTCAGCCTGGTGGTGCTGGGCAACAGTCTCCCAAGGCTGAGTCTTAGGCTTTGGGAATCCCCAAAATCTTCCCCGAGGTTCACAGGAAGGCTGGAAAGTTTAAACTCTGGGCTCCTTGCCTTTTTCAGCCGAGGAGAGCGCTGAGGCTATTTCCAAGGCAGATGAGAATCATAGGAAGCAATTTGGATCATTTAATTTTTTTTTAAGTATTAGGTCAGCCAAAAGCCAGTGTCTTTCAGAGATGCTTAAGAGTGGGCAGGGATCCTAATAGATGGATGGCTAAGCTTTTCTCTGTCTTACTGTCACTCCATATATGTGTCCTTCATTCACGCATAAGGGGTAATTCTTAGAATTTAAACTTTTGAAATATATAAGAAATGAAGTTACTGGGGCCATGTTAAGTCATGTTTGACCTTAATAGAAGTTCAAGTGTTTTTTCCAGTGTTCTACCATTTCAGAGATGTCCCTTTAGGAGGACAGGTAGCCTCAGTTGTTAGGACTACTAATAGTGTCTTTTGCATTTAAAATGGGGCTTCATGAAGACTGGTCCCTAATTTGATTCCTTTCCTTTTAATTTAGAGAGCCAAGCTCCATCCATAGAGGACGTCTTACAGGACAGCAGCACCGAGCACAGAAGCCTTAATCAACCTGGGATTGACCCTCCAGCTGACATATACCTACCAGGTAATAGTCAACCAGTTTTCCCTTTTGTCACATGACTAGGGAATGGGAGATATCCTTGTTAGTGGTGCACAGGGCTTAGTGATGTAACAAAGAGTAGGGTGGAGCCAAAGTACTGTGTCTGTGGTTCTGGAGCAGTTGAAGCACCGAAGATACCAGATGAGGCTTAAGAAACCTCTCCGAATTAGGAACCTCCCAGAATTTAACAGGGATTAAACTTTGGGGGGGGGACCCTCTAATACGGGTAGATCTTGGTTAAGGGCCCTCATTTTGAGAGCTTAATTTTCAAATTGGAGACCACAGCAGGAGAAACAGTGCACCTTCTCCCAAAAAACTACCACCAAGGATAGTGATTCTTCCTTGACTTTTCCATATCAGCCATTGAATCTTTAATGTAAATATGCTAAGTGCCTTTAAGTAACTCTTCCAACCTAGACACTAAAAGGGAAAATATCTTCTTTCTCATTCCTCTCTGTTCCCCCAAAGCACAGGCTAGGAGATCTTCCTCTTCTTTGTTGTCTTACCTGATTTGTTGAGGTGCTTTATGTTTTCTGCCCTCAATGAATCAGAAGGAGGGTAGTGTGAATAATCCTAAAGGCCAGATAACCTAAAGTCAGCAAGCATTTATTAAATGCCTGCTGTATTCAGGCACCTTGCTGTGCTCTGGGGATACCAAAAAAAGAAAAAAAAACAATCCCTAATTTCTAGGAGCTCAAAATCAAATACAGGGAGACAACATGCAAACAACTATGTGCAAACAAAATATAGATGGGATAAATTTGGAGATAATCTCAGAGGGAAGGCACTTCTTTTTTATGTGCTTCATTGAACATAGCTATGTCTAACATTTCTAAAAATTTAAATAATGAAACCATATTATGAAGACAATTTAGAATTGAGTATAAAAACGTCCAGCTTCCCCATTTTTTCCTAATGCTAAAAAACTTCATTGCCAAGAATGGAGAGTATCTCTCACCCTGGTGTCTGAAACCTCAAGCAGAATTCTAGATTCCATTTTCGGAATTAGGAAAACTGCTCTTTTTATATACTACCAGAAGGTAATTAAGTAGCTGGATTTTAAAATTGCTTTTTTTTATCACTGTCTTGATTAGAGTCAGTAATGATCAACAAAGGGATTAATTAATAGAATAGTTAATGTTAGTATCTAAAGACAAAATAATTTCTGTTACAAAAGAAAAAAGGGGGGAAAAAAGAATTGACCCTCGGAGCAAAAGTATTATGTTGAAAGAATACAATATTGCTGAATCATACAATGGGATAAACTGGGGCAATTCAGATTACTGTAGCTTTGAAAACAATTGTTGTTGTTTTTAATGAGGAAAACAGCTTTTAAAAAAACCTGAACATCCCTTTTGTGATTTATTAGCCTATTTGGTGGCTATTCTGGCAGTTCTGAGGGAAGAGAAAGGAACAAGCATTTATTTAAGCCTCTACTATGTACCCTGCACTATGCTAACTCCTTTGTAGGTATTATCTCATTTGATCCTAAGAACAACCCTAGGGAATAAGTGCTATTATTATCTTCATTTTACAGTTAAGGAAAGCAAGGCAGGCAGAGATTTGCCCAAGGTCACATAGCTAGTGTCTGAGGCTACATTGACCTCTGGTCTTCCTGACTCGAGGCTCAGGGCTCTGTCTAGTACACCACCAGCTCCATTCTGAGCTCTGCTAAGGAGTTGCGGTTGATAGAAGTCAGTTTGCCTGTGTGTATTCAGGGGACTTCTAGACTGAGTGAGACCCATCTTAAAAGGACTAGCTGAATTGGTCTGAGCAGGCCAACCATGAAACTGTCTTTGGCCACTGAATACTTTGTAGTTACTTATTGCAGAAGAGGGTAGCTCATTGTCAGCTTTGCTACATATTTATTAGCTGTGTGACCCAGAGCACACAACTTTATTTTTCTTATCTTTAAAGTGAGGAGAACAAGATTTCTAAGGTTTTTTCCGTGCCAAATCTGATTTTCTAGCTTGCTCCCTCTTTTAAGGGGCAGACAAATAGTGAATGTAAAGGCCATCCATTGACTCAAATATATTAGGGAATTCAGGGTCACATAGCTCCTGGGAGAGCTTCACTGAACATTTTCATAAAAATATGGTTTGGGGGCAACATGTCAATAGCTATGACTTGTTAGACTTTGGAAGAACATTACAGGGAAAGGAATGTTCAGATCCTGGATCTAAAACTAAGTTTCTTCGCTGTAAAATGAGAGGGTGGGACTAAATAAAGGTCCCTTTCAGATTTAAATCTGTGGTCCAATGATTCTATAACAATTAAATATTTGACTTGTTCACATGTCAACAATTCAGCAGCAGACTGGGGTGAAAAGTGGCTACGGACCTGTTGTAATCAGGCTCTGTAGTATCATAGACTATTAGACCCGTGCTTAGCACAGTGCCTGGCACATAGTAGGTACTTAATAAATGATTGACCTAGAAGGGACTTCTGTCCAACTCGCTTCAAGATATCATTCAATGGGTAGCAATTTCTTTTTTCCCTAGAGCTAATGGTCTAAGCTAAGGGCCTTAGGGAAAGCTAAACTATGCCAGAGGAGTTGGCCTAAGAGTTTAGAAGGGGAAAGGGTAGCAGAAAAAAAAAAGAGTGGGAAGGAGAAAGAAGGCACAGAGAAGATGTACATATGGAGAAGTGATTACGTGCCATTAACAAGTGCCAGCCACTTTCTGTTGTTCATGCCGTAGGTTGCCTGCTCCTCCCGATCCTCCTCCCTACCTTCAGGCTCCACCATTGAAGAGTCTTATATCTCAGTCAGTTTGCCAGTCAATAAAGAGTTATTAATTATTAAATATTTATTAATAAACATTTTATTATGTGCTAGGCACTATGCTAAGCACTGAGATATAAAGACAGGTAAAAGCCCCTGCCCTTAAGGAGTTTCATGATCTAATGGAGGAGGCAACATGCAATTAACTATGTACAGACAAGCTATATATAGGATAAAAGATAAAGAGGAAATAATCAACAGAGGGGAGACACTAGAATTATGAGGGATTGGGAAAGGCTTCCTGTAGAAGGTAGGATTTTCCCTGGGACTTGAATGAAGCCAAGAAGCAGAGATGAGGAGGGAAAACATTCCAGGCCTGAGGAGACAGCCAGAGAAAATGCCAGGAGGCTAGATATGGTCTGTCTTGGGCAAGGAACAGCCAGGAGGCCATTGTCACTGTATGGCAGTGAGGAGAATGGGCACTAATTATATGCTCCTTCCCCTGAGCATATCTATAAAGTAAGCCTCTTTCTGCCAGAGGTCAGATACATTCAAGAAATTGCTTTGGTGATATCTGACAGAAGTGCAGTGCTAGAAAGAGTGGCCCTGGATTTTCTCTTCTGTCTGCTGATTTCTTTGTTCCTGTCTCTGGCTTTAAACAGTCTAATTAGACAGTATCATCTGACAGGCTCAGTTTACCTGACAGTTCCATAAAAATCATTAGAGAGGCTCATTTACATGAACAGTAATGAGAGAAAGCAAAAGTTCATTATTTAATAAAGAGCAAGAGATTTGCATTTCTCAGAATGAGGTACTTAAAACAATAGGAACCTGATCTTGAGTTTCCAGAAGCTATTTTCCCCGCTTTTTCCATAGCTCACAGTGCGATAATAAACTCTTAGTCTCTTGGGACTTGTAGCATCTAGATTTTTTTTTTCGCAGATAAATAAAGAGTAGTTATTATTTGGTGTTTTCTTATTTGCTTCTGCAAACCAGTATGTTCAAGTTGAGTATATTGTTTCCAGACCTCACATCCCTTTCATTTTGCTCTAACTTTATTCTAGTTGCTACAAAATTTACAAGTCTGTTCTAAGATCTTTTCTAATAATTCCTTCATTTTCTGTCTCTCCTACCCCCTTATCTGGATAGCACTGGGTCCTGATTCCTGCTCTATTGGTATAGAGGAATAAGATGGTATGTTTTCTCCTTTCATATGCCTAATTGGGTTTTGTCTTGTCTGTTGAATTCAGTCCTGCTCCATGTAAAACACTGTATTAAGTATTTGGGTAGATAAAAAATTTAGGTAAGTTGTCAAGCATATAAGATGATCTTAATGGTTTAATCCATTAGATGGGAGTTTCAATCATTTCTTCCACTCTTTACCTTATATACAGTCCTAATTTCACAGCTTTTCCAGACCTTCTCCATGTGTAAGCTTTAATCCAAAGATCTCATAATGCAGCTGAGGTCTGGTCTTTAGTTTAAGACAGAGGCTCTTAATTTCTTGGACCACTTTGGCAGTCTGGTCAAGCCTGTGGACCCCTTATCAAAATATTGTTTTTTAAATGCATAAAATACAATACATGGAATTACAGAGGAAATCAGTTATATGGACATAAAGATGTAATTTTTTTCCCATCTAAGTTCACAGTCTCCCTTTAATCTTTGGGTCCCAGATTAAGAATCCTTGTTCTAAAGGGAACCCCATTTGGGGAAAGCCCAAATGATGATTTGCAGGAAAATGGGGTCATATGATAGAATCAAAAACCAGCTTTTTTTCCTCTTATCTGAACTAGGATGGTCCACTTGGGGACTTTGGGTCTCCAAAAAGAATGACTCAGTTGACTGTGGTCACTTCATGTGACTGTTAATTAACAGAATTACCCATAGTGACTTGGAGCAGTGAAAAGGAAAGGAATAAAATTAACAGAGATCATTGTTGCCCCTTAAAAGGAGATTTTTGAATCTAGCAACCTTATTGTATAAATTTTTGTGTTTGTGTGGGCATTATTGACTGGGTCATCTAAGTGAACTGAATCTCAATGTAAATGGACGTGCAGATCTGTCAAGCTTTTCTCTTTCTATCAGAGCAGAGAAAGTCTTACTGTCTTGTCCAGTACCCTTGTTATCCTTTATGAATGGTCTCCTGTCCCCTTAATGTTGATGTCCTTGTTTGAACTGAAACGTTCTCCCACCAGCTTCTACTACTGAGGATCTTGGGATTTATATTTGGAAAAGAACTTAGAAATAGTTTGGACCAATCCCATTATTGAAATTTGATGAAAATGAGACCCCAGGTTGTAAGGTGACCTGCCTAAGATTGCATAGATAGTAGCTAGCAGATCCAGGATTCAAACCCAAGTTCCCTGACTCTTACGTCTGGCATCCTAGTCACCAAACCACAACTGCCTCACTAGAGACCTCAAGTGCCTCTCTGGTCCCAACTGACTTTTCTGTACTTAGGTATCTGCCCACAGCCTAATACTTAGTTGGGAATTTTCATATGTTCATTAGAATGTAGTTTTAAAGAGGCTAAGACAGCAGGACCAGCCTTAAAACAGGCTGTGCCAAATAAGAGATTTATTGAGCCTCCTTTTCCCTAAGTTCCCAAGGCTAGTGAGAGGCAGGTGCAAAGTTATCCAGCCTGTATTGAGAAGTAACTTGTGTTTCAAATGAAAATGACTCCAGTTGGAAGTTCAGTACAGTAGAAAACTCCGTTATAAGACAAGTGTAAGAAAGCAAGGATAATGCTAGTTTTACAGATGTTATGTTATGCAAACCTTCAAGAACTATATAAATATGATATAATAATAAAGCTAAGGACTTGGAGATGGGAGAAGTATGAGTGGTTTAGGCAGTTACACATTTGTATGACCAAATAAACTCCCTCCTCTTAGCTACTTTCGCTCTAGTCACTCAATATTGGACCTAACTAGATAGACGAGAAGTAACAGCCTTCAGTTTTTCTTCTGGAAACTAAACCACCCAAAAGTCAAGGCATCTTCCAAATAAGTGGAGCAAGACATAGATATTTATACCTGCATAGAGGTTTGAAGAAAATAGTCCAACAAATTTTGCAGATTACCATGCCCCTCAAAGCCACCCATGAAAGATGGCAAGAAACAAGAAAGTTTAGGGCTTAAAAATGTATAATTGCCAGGTTTCTTCTGGCTACTAAAGAGTGTGATCATTTTTTAGGAGAATTACCTGAGTGGTCCTTTTTCTCTCTCTCCTCCCTGCACTTTGTTCTAATATAGGTACACTCTGCTTTTGTGATCCTGAGGTAGTAAAACTGACTGATGCTGATAGTATTATTATCACCTTTCTAGGGTCACAGGAATGAGCCTGGGAAGAGACCCTGGAGATCACACAGTCCAGTGGTTCCCAACCTGTGGAACCTAGAGTTAGTATAAGGGGGCCATATCCAGCCAAGATAGTAAGGAACAGGGACTTGAACTCAGATCTTCTGAATCTAAATTCAGGGCTCTTAAATTGTAGGAATTTTGCTCTTCCTGGTGTATAACAAAACCAGGAAGTGAACTCCTAAAGCCTCTGAATGGTCAGAATAGGTGACAGGGAGTCTGGATCACGTCAAATGCTCATGTATTTGACTCTTAGGTTGAGAACCAGCTTGTGTTTCAAGTCAGAATGACTGCAGTTTGAATTCAGTCCCATAGAAAGTAGGTATCAGGGAGCAAGGATGTTACTGTCGCTCAGAGGTTCTTTACACTTATTTCGACACTGTTCTAATAAGCTTGCTTATGTGATCTCTCAGCCCACAGAAGATGGAAATTAGCAGTTGGGAGGGTCTGGGCTGGCTGAAAGCAGCAGAACTGGTGACAGATGGCAATATGACAATAGAGAAAGAGACAGAAGAGACTGTACAAATCTGACCCAATCTGACCCAAGGGTTCAGACATTTAATTGGGGAAGATAATTCAGGATGCTTAGGATGTCAGTGCACACAATACAGTAGTTTGTCTGTCTGCCACAGTGAGTGACCCAGGGTGTGGGGAAAAGGTGGTGTTCTGCATGGGCTGTATAAGAAGGCAGGGAAGAGCATGAAGCACTTTGGAAGAATTTCTAACTAAAACAGTTTCTTTTTTAAGTGGTGTTTCAAGGAGTGAAGATGAGTTATTTGTTGTTGAATATCCAGATTTACACAGAAATAGATTAGGGTTGATTCTCTGTTCTACAGAGGGATTTGCCATGTTTTCTTTTAGGTAGTGATGTAACTAATAGGCAGAAATCTAATTAATGACTAAAACCTGTAACATGTTGCAGTAATACTAGTTGGCCTTGAAGAAGACACTCAATATATCACTGTCCTCCCCTTTACCCTTAAAAATATCTTTTCTGCCTGGAGCCCAAGCTGTAGTAGGGGCTCTTGCTCAGCTGCTCCTGAGGCCTCTCTGTAAAAGGGAGGGCTTTTCCCTTTTCATCTGTGAAACCCCAGTGCAGGGGTGAGAAGTGAATGCCCCTGAGTGAACAGTTGCTGGACTTTCACACTAACCTCAAGTACTTTTTCAGCTCTTGTTTGGTATGGAGGAGTGGTGGCAAACTCATAGCTGTGACCTAGGAAAGTATTTTCTTTTATAACTCTTAAGTGTCAACTTAAACAAAAGAAAAAGGGTTATACCTCCATGTAGTTGTTGGTGCTGATTATAAGACTTTGCTTTGGGATAGGAAGCATGCCCTAGATGTGTCTGTAGGTCTTCTAAAAATAGAATGAAATTGGCCTCCCCTGGGTTATGGACCATGTATCTTTCAGTAAAGCAAAGAATCAAACCTGACTTATCTCTATGTGAATCTGGTTATTCTGCAACAAAGTGAATTTTCTTCCTTTTTTGGCTTTTTTTTTTTTATGAGGTAGTCAGGGTTAAGTGACTTGACCAGAGTCACACAGCTAGTAAGTGTCGAGTGTCTGAGGCTGGATTTGAACTCAGGTCCTCCTGATTTCAGGGCTGTGCTCTACAAAGTGAATTTTCCAACTAGTTTCCAACTTGTTTACTCCTTGAAGCACCACATTTTTAAAAAAATTATAAATATTTTTCTAATAAGTATAAATTAGTAAATTCTTATAACTTGGCTCTTTTTACTGAAGCCAGTTCCCTGTGACTGGGTGTTAATGACTAGGAACGTAACTTCTCTCTGTTCCATCAAAACTCTTTAATCAGATGCTTATTTGATCGTTATTTGACTGAGATGATTTTGACTTATTTTCTGTTTAGCTTTGTGATTTTTCTGGTCTTTGTCTGGAACTGTGGTTTCATCAGTATAGGAGAAATCCCAGTATGTAAACTCCCTCCACTGATGCAGATCAGCAGCTTGTTTGTGATTTATAGCATAAGAGAGTTGCCTGGGACACTAAGAGTTTGTCACTACCCCATGTCCACATGGCCAATATATTTCAAACTTGAACCCAGATCCTCTTGACTGCAACCCTAACCCTCTATCAACATATGCCATGTTGCATCTAATTTTCTGTCATTATGATATTATATTAATTAAATTAGAATCAGGTTACAAATTATCTCATAAAATAGTTTCTGATTCATAGTCAATAAAATTTAAACCAGAGGAAGGGCCAGATGCTCTGTGACTTTAAGTGAGCCATTTTAATTCCATGTTAAGAAAGTATACAAATACATCTGGAGGTTGTGTTCCCCACCCAAAAATATAGTTTTATAATCAGAATCAACAAATACAAGGAAATTTATGCTTGTTCTCGTGCTAAAGATGACACCGAGATCTTCTCCCTGTGCCAGAGTCTCAGTGGTCCAGTAGTGCTGCTGTTGTTTTATTGAGCCCCACAGAGCACCCCCCCACCCTCACCTTTCTCACCATCATTAAATTCTGCTTTGGCTTCTGTCTCAACATTTGACCTCACCCCTTTGCAGATATACAGAATTCTAAAGTGTTTGTTTACCTGAGACCCATATGTAAGAACCAAAGAATGGACACATTGAGTCAATCCCAGGGGACCTGTGTTCTCACTCTGACAAGGACAAATTTGAGAAGTCTATTGTTTTCCCCTAGTCACAGACATTTTATACTTAACCATAAAAATGCAGTAACTAGTGTTTTCCATTGCTAACAGTTTCCACTTCATTTTCTTTTCCTCTCTTAGGAAGTTCAGCCTCAATGGAGACTCCCCAAAGCCACAGTATGAATGGTTCTACTCGGCCTCCAGTCTGTGACCCCAGCCCTGAATATCGGGAGGCTGAACTGACTCCTCTCTAAGATCTCAGCCAGGGAGTGGTTTGGAGCCTTCAGCTCATTAGGCCCTTGTGAAAGGGTCTTTCGATCTGGACACCAAAATACACGCACAGACTCTTCTCTCTCTCCATCCTCTGTGGGAATACTAGGCTCTGGAATGCCATACAGACTTTGACCAAAAGAGCACAGCTAACCTTACACTCTGATTACTTCCCTTTTTGTATGTTAAATTTATTTGTAAATGGTACAAGATGAAGGACAGCAGCTTTTATCATGGAGCCATTGAGGGCTTTTTTCCCTGCAATACCCCATTGGTTGGGGTAGGCAGGACTCAGGAGGTAGTTCCTTCTCGTAGAGCAGAAGTAACTGCTTATAAGGCCAGCCTGGAGTTGGCATTGTTTGCATTTTTAAAGCCTGGCATATTTCTGAAACTTGAGGTTCAGGACTGGTAAGCTCCCTATGGTGGCAGTGGCATTTATGTCCACAGGAGAGATTTTAGGGATTGGTGAGACATTTTCCTCAAAGGTGGTTTTGAGGGAGGATTTTGTCTTTTGTAGAGGGGGGGAACCTTGCAAAAGAAGGAAGGGAATCCAATCAAAGTCTGTGAAGGAAAATATAGTGTATATTTTGTAACACACAGTGGCTGACAGTAGCCTTTTGCTGTTGCTGTTACCGTTTGCATCGTCAACATGCTTGTTGGTCACAAGCATGACCCTGCTGCAGCAGCACCTCTCCGTGTAGTGTCTCCTCGTTCATGCCTCTTTATGATGTGACTGCTCTCTTTGCTTTTTATCTCAGCTGTTGGCCATTTGGATTTAAGGCAATTGGTCCTGTTCTCCAGGGGGACTCTGGGATCATTTTTTTCCTCACCGAGACTTTTCAGGGTGAGAGTCCATCTAATTGGAGGACACTGATTTCCAGAAGCAAAACAGATTCTGCCAGGTCTACTCAGTGACCTCCAAGCCCCACGGATGCGTGAGTCAAAATAGCATCCTCTTCTCTGGGAAGGTAGTTCAGACATGAATCTGAGCTGAGAACTACCAGGAAGGTCTGGAGATATTACCTTCATTTGGTCTGGCCTCCCTTGCAAGTGCCCTGGCAAAGGATCTGCAGTCTGAGAAGGGATTTTGGTTAGGATTCAGAAACACAGAAAAGAAAGATTTTGGTTTTGAACAAAGTCAGCACTTTGCCTGCCATATGCACCTTCTCCTGTTTAGGTGCCTTTCTCTGAGTGCTGAGCTTCATAGAAGTTGCCAGAGTGTGTAAGTCATACAGTGAATTTAGGGACTCCTTTGAAATCAGCAGCTGCCAAACTGGCATGGCCAGTCCTGAAACAGGCTGTCTTTCCCATGGAGAGAACACCTGAGATGCTTCCTGCCCTGATCATCTAATATTTCCCTCCTGGTTTGTAGGTGTTTATTGGGGGGATCTGAGAGACAGAAGACTCTCCCTCCTCCATAGTGAACACAGTCTGCCTAGGATTTCAGTATCCTCATGATCTGGCCCTTCCAGATGGTATTCAAGGTGCATTGCTTCCAAGATAACCTTTTCTGCATTATCATTTAAAAGGAAATATCTTGGCAGAAAGGGAAAATTCTACAGACACTGGTACTCACTGTGAAGTTGATATACCAGCTACTACTTTCTGCAGAAGAATAGTAGGGCCTTGGTTGTATCTGCCACAGTTGGTCTGGCCACAGTGTGTATCTACTAAAACAGCCCAGTAGTCTCCATTCTTAGTTCTCAATTTATTGCTCAGCAGCAGCCAAACAAGAATGTGGTGAATGCCTCTAGCAGAAGCAGTGGCCTCAGCAGGTAGAATTCTTACCCATTGGTAGATCTGATTCTGTTTAAGTAAAATGGGAGAGTTAACCTAAATGGATTGGAATAGGTAAATTCTGTTCTATAATACAACAGTTTTTGCTCACCAGTGCCCTGCCCTGGACCCTCAGGATTTGGAGTCTTTAGGTGAATGGCTTTCAGACCTTGATTCGATTTAACAGAGGCAGCTGAGGAAGAGACCAGGCCCCATGAATGGGATCCTCTCTTTGACTTTACATCACAGAATGTCTGGCATTTCTTGCCAGAAGTTGGGCCCCCTCTGACGGGTTCTCTGGAGGATTCCTTTGGAACTTAATAGGGAACCTGAGGCACAAGCCATAAGCCACAAGTTGAAGTAACATTCCAAGGCTGCTTTTCTCAAGTAAGCTTTTTCAGAAGCTCATTAGATATTCATGCTGAAACTGACACAAAGACCCTGCCTGAAACGTGAAGACACTTCAGCGGGGCGCCTAGGCATTCCTCACAAACTAAGCCCATCTAAAGTAGCAGGCCCAAGGAGATGGGGAAAGGCCCAGTATTCCTTTTTAAGCTGTAGTCACAAGAAACCCAAGGAATTGCCCTGTAGTTAATGCTACTGGGCTAAGACAGACCACAGTTATGTTCCATTTAAACGAGTCATTAAACTGCAGGTACAGATTTCCAGCTGAGGAGGCAGGCTCATCAGAGTCAGACTGGGAACCAGAATAACTGGCTCGTGGAGGTGACCTTCTCACAGCCTGTTTGTGTGTGTGTGTTGTCAGTGAACGGGCAATATTTTTTTTTTCTCTATCCTCATCAACAAGTATAGTTTTGTCCAGAGACCTTGTATTGGGTGCCTTGCATTTGCACAGTGGGACAAACTGGAGTAAAGTTGTGTACTGAAGATACTAACTTTTTTTTTTCCCTGTAATTGCCACTTGTGAATTTTGTCATGTGGCTTCTACTCATGGCTCTTTCCTGCCTCTGGAGACAGGCTACTTTGTGCACATAGCTTTCCCCCCAGCACCCCAGGGTTTTCCCTAGACCAGTCCTTCCTGTCCTGGCTGCTCATAGACACAGTCTGGCTTTCTCTTTCCTGCACGCTGCTTCCCTCTTTTCCTATCAAGCCCTTTTAGACCTTTCCTCTTCAATTTTGGTGCCAGTACTTTGTTTAAACGATGGAACACAGATTTGCTCATCTGGAAATGTGCTATTATTTGATGTAGTCTGATTGGTTAGCTTTTTGTTTGTTTATATATTTATAGTAATAAATTCATGCAGCAATATACCATGTGTTTATCATTTCCACTGAATTGGCATTCAGATGGGTTGTGACTGGATCTCTAGTTCACTGTTTCCTAATCATCAGCTTTCACTAAATTTTTACCATTCTGTAAGACCCATTATTTTTTAACAGCCTTACTTTAAAACGGATAACACTTCCCCACCAAAAACAACCCACTCGTCCCCACCTCTGTTTTCCCAGGACTTCACCCCAGCCGTAGCTGCAGTGCTGAGGCTGAAGCAAGCTGCCGCAAAGAAGCTAAAGCTTTTACCAGACCCCACTTTAGTTTGTGTTGGGAAATGCTGCTGGAGTTCTTTTTCTTGATTTCCATGTTGGAGGAAAAATAATAACTGTGGTGATAGTCTAAAATCAGATCAGAGTTCTACTAAGTCAGAAGATTCCCCCCAGGGCAGCCCAGACAATGCTGTAATCTGTAACTTTCCTGGGAAAGATGAACATTCTAGAGATACGACTATTCAACTTGTCTGCTCTCTTCTCTCCAGCATTTTATATCTATTCCAAGGTAAGCATATAATGCTTTTTAAAAGTTTAAATTAAATATATCTTAAAGTATCTCCCTGCTCTGTCTACTTTTTTTAGTATGAGAAACTTGGACACCACCTCTGGACACTACCCTTTGGGTACAGTGGAGAAGGGAACATTCCTTCACTCTCTTTTACCCTGCATGGACTTTCATTAACTCTCCTTCTCCTTTTATCTTTCTCTCTTTCCCTCCCTCCCTCCTCCTGCCCATCTCTTTTACACCCCCCCCCCCAAAGGCACTCACTATCTAGACTTATACAGGGGGATATGCATTTCCTGTTTGGGTCTGACAGATTAATATCAATCACGTAGGCAGTTAAGTGCCTAATGTGTGCAGGCACTGAGGCTGTAAGAATCAAAAGTGAAACTGCCCAGTATATAGAAAATAAATTTATGAGAGAGCACAGGCAGCTGGGAGTATCAGGAAAGACCTCGTGTAGAAGGTGATACTTAAGTAGAATTTCAGGGACTTAAGAGGCAGAGGGGAGGAGAGGGTGCACTCTAGACCTGGGGCACAGTGTGTGCCAGGCTGCAGAGATGACATATAGAGTGTTGTTATGAGGAAAAGAAATGCCAATTTGGCTGGCCTCTGGAGTGCAGAAAGGTGGAGCCTGGTTGTGGAGGGCTTTAAAAATCAAACATTTAGAGTTAATAATTGAACCTGGGGGAAATATGAAACCACTGGAGCTTACTGAATGGGGGAAAGACAGTTAAGACACTTAACAGCCCACACCATAGGACTTCTCTTATGGACCCAACTGAATCTCCTTGACCTTTCTCCCAAATGCCTGACACCCCTAGTGCTCAAAAACTAGGGGAGACTCTCTAGCTCCGTTGGATTTAATTTCTAAAAGACAAAGAAAGCTTGTCTTCTTTCTGGGCTCAGTGTAATTTCTCTGAGTATCCGTGCCTTTTCCTGGTAGTCTGTTTCTTCATTTAATTATGTGTGTTTTTACTATGCTAGATGAGGGGTGGTTTAAGTCCTTTATAATGCTCATTTCTTTTGCATGTCATCGATTTTTATGATGCCTGTTAGTGTCCATCCTTTTGTCCATTTCCCCCTTCTCTTCCCATCCCCAAATCTTTCTGGGCCCATTGCTACTCAGTGGCTACCTAGGGAAGGCCCCATTTCTTGAAATGATCAGTTTCCCTTACCCTTAAATGGTTAATTTTGAAGCTGTGTGGGACAGCAATGACCCTTACCCAAATTAATTCAGAGGCTTCTCCAGGTAGAAAGGAGAAAGGAATTTATTTCGATCTCAAGAAAGGGTGACCTGCACAGAAAGGCAGTTCGATGTAAGACGGCAGGGGGTGTCAGCCAAGTAAGCATTTTTATAGGTTCTAACCACAACCCCTCCCTAGCCCCCTACCTCTTATCCCATTGGCTGGGCTTCAGAGGGCACAATCTAAACACGACAAAACTACCCCAGCAACAGCAGTGGAAATTACAGAATCGTTACATAGTTTTCACCTGCTTTTTCCTCCAAGTATCCTCTTAGTACATGCTGTTTTGTTCATTTCAGATCCTGGAACAATTTGTAGTTATACTTATCTTAATATATTTATCCAGGCTATTTACAAGCTTCCTGACCTGGGTACACATATATTATCATTAGGAGTCTTTACCTTATTTTACTCATTTAAGTTTAGATTTTTTGAGGAGTCTTCACCAATCTCACTCAGTACCTTTGTCTACTTCAGGTTTCTTTGTTTTTTTAGGCAGGTGAAGAGTGAATTCTAACGCGTTTCTGCAGTTTGTTATTAAACTTTCCCTCCCTTTGCTTCTTTGTTTATTTTTGTTCTGCTTCTGCCCCTACTATTATTATAAGTCATCTACTCTTTCTTCTTCCCCTTTGCCCTTTTAGGATATCCATTTTTAGGGCAGTTAGGTGGTAAAGTGTATAGAGCCCCAGGCCCAGCATTAGGAAGACCTGAGTTTAAATCCGACCTCAGACACTTTACTAGCTATGTTAACCTTGGGCAAATTATTTAACCTCTGCCTCAGTTTCCTCATCTATAAAATAGGAGTAATAGCACCTACTCTCTAGAGTTTTTTTGAGGATCAAATAAGATAATTATAAAGCACTTAAGGCAGTGCTTGGTACATAGTAAGCACTTTATAAATGTCAGCTATTACTGTTTCTGTCTTTCCATGTTGGCAGCTAGTTCATTTGGTTGCTGCTTGTAGCAGTGCTCTCCAACATTTTTTATATCATGCTCCTATCAGTAAAAAAAAAAATACGCATCCTCTGATATGCATATATTTGCTTATTTATAAATTATATACAGGTACCATTAACAATTGTGTTATGAAACTTATTCAGAAATAGACCTCTTTTTTTTTTTTAAATTTGGTGCGGCAATCGAGGTTAAGTGACTTGCCCAGGGTCACACAGCTAGTAAGTGTTATGTGTCTGAGACTGGATTTGAACTCAGGTCCTCCAGACTCCAAGGTCAGAGCTCTATTCACTGTACCACCTAGCTGCCCCAAGAAATAGATATTTTAAAAGGATGAGATAGGGATAAGATAGTATTTGATCCTAGAGTCAATAGGGAGCCACTGAAGTTTATTGAGAAGTCACTCTGGTGGTTGTATGGAAGATGGATTGGAGAGAGGAAAGACTTGAGGCAGGGAGTCTCCTTATAGGACACTATCAAAATAGTATAAGCCAATGTGGAATTTGCCCCAGAAGTTACTGAAAAGTGCAAACCCTTTGATCCCTTGTATGACTACTAGGCCTATGCCTCAAAGGGATCAAAGAAAGAGAAAAAGGATCTATATGAAGCTCTTTTCAAAGTAGCCAAAAATTGGAAACTAAGGGGCTGTCCTTTGATTGGAAAATGGCTAAACTGTGGTATCGACATAGGAATGTAATAGAATATTATGATGCCATAAGATATGCCAAAATAGGCAATTTCAAAGGGAATTGGGAAGATTTCTTTGAACTGACGTGGAGCAAAGTGAGTAGAACAATTCATACAATGATAACAATGTGATAGAGAAAAACAACTCTGAAAAACTTTAAGATTCTGGTCAGTGTAATGATAAACCATGAAACCAGAGGGCTGAAGATGAAACACACCAGAGAAATGGTGGACTTAAAAAGCAGAGAGTGCCATACATACATTTTTGGACACGGCCAATGTGGGTATTTGTTTCATGAGATGACGCATGCTAATGATGACAGTCTTGTTTTTCTTTGCTTTTTTTGTTCCATTGGTGGGGGTCATGGGAGGGACAAATTATAAATGCATATAAAAATAAATATCTATTTTTAAATTAGTTCAGGCAAAAGGTGATGACAACCTGAGTACAGTGGTGACCACGTAAGGAAAAAAGGACAGATTTGATTAAGAAGGAGCAAGAAGATTTAGTAAGCGATTCGATACATGGGATGAAGGAGAACAGGGAGACAAACTGCTCTATCGTGCCCTCTAGTTGCCCCTTTTGCCAAGAAATCCCCCCCTAAAAAGGGGGGTCACAAAGAGTTGGACACGACTGAAAACTACTAAAACAACAGTGCATGGCACCACATGAGACACTAGGAGATATAATGATTAAAAACAATAGTTCTTGCACTCACTCACTGCGGGGACATGTTATATAATCTCAGGTAGTGTGTGGGGAGGGTAAAGGAAGAATCCCCACGAAGTCTCCTAGGAATATTTGAAAAAGAAGAGAACACGTTCAGGAATTGGGGAAGTCTTCATGGAGGTGGTAACTTCTGAACTGAGTTTTAATAAGAATGGATTCTGAAAGATGTAGATGAAGAGGGAGTATATTTCACCCATGGGGGCTGACCTCCAAGAATGTATAGAGAGGAAGTAGCAGATGTACTTTTAGAAACAGTAATCTAGTTTGGAATGTAGGATGAGTCGACACAAATAATGCAAAATAAAGTAGAAATATAGGTTGGAGACAGTTAACTGTGGTCTTAAATGCCAGTCTGAGGAGTAGTTCTATGGAAAAGTGGATTAGGGTACAGGGCTTACAGCCCGGAAGAACAGAGTTGAAATTCTGCCTTAGATACTTTCTAGCTGTATGACCATGAGTAGGTCATTTAACATCTATGCCTCAGTTTCCTCATCAGTAAAATAGAAATAATGATAGCACCTGGTCTCAGGGTTGCTGTGAGAACCAAAGGAGATAACATATGTAAAACATATTGCAAACCTTAAAGTGTTATATAAATATTTTTGTTGTTCAGTCATTTTAGTCATGTCCAACTCTTCATGACCCCCATTTTCGTGGCAAAGATGCTGGAATAGTTTGCTACTTCCCTCTCAAACTCATTTTACGGATGAGAAAACTAGGCAAACAGGGTTAAGTGACTTGCCCAGGATTACACAGCTAATAAGTGTCTGAAGCCAGATTTGAACTCTGGAAGGTGAGTCTTCCTGACTCCAGGCCTAGTGCTAGATCTACTGTGCCATCTAGCTGCCCCTACTGTTATATATTACTATTATCTTTGGCTATATTTCCTCAGCTACCTCTACTTTCTTTTTTTATCTTATCTGGATACAAGCAAGATGTATGGTATCATCTTGATCCTCTTCTCTGTGAAGGTTGCATATGGACACTTGGCTTAATTAAAGGTGGGAAGAAAGTAATAGGAACATTTCCCCCGACACTGAGGTTTGGAAGGAGATACATGCTAGGGGAAAGGGGTGTTAGCTGGGGACTCCTGCTCCCCAAACCTTGAGCATGTATTATTTCATTCTTGCTGCCATTATATTTGTAAAAACCCCCTCTCTGACCCAGTAGGTAGTTAGCCCCTGCTTCATTTTGGCTTCTTTCTTATACCCATAGTCTTCTCCCCACACCACAAGTTTGTCCATGATTAGTTCTTGAATTGGATAACTAACTATTAAGTGCCTGTTATACAAGTGAGGTATAAGTCGAAGTCCCTGTCCTGAAGGAGTTCAGGCTTATTGGGAAAATAACAGATACAAAATATAGACCAGAAAGTATTATGTGAGAAATACAGAAAACAAGTATTCTCGGCATTCAGAAAAGGGAGGCATGAAATAGGCATATTTAATAGAATGGGATAGGGGGGTTTTATTTTATTTTTTAAAGGCTGCTCAAAGTTTATTAGTTTCTGTTGAGTACAAAGTAAACAAGTTACTGAGGCTGCTGGAAAGCACATAGGTGATCCAGACAGTTAAAAAAAAACAAACAATAAACTGTGGTTTCTTTTAATCGTTTTTTGGTGTTTGTTTTGCTTTTGTTTTCCTTTTTAAAAAAACACACACACACACACACACACACACAACTACTTCTACACTTAAGCAGCCTGTCTATTCTAAGAGAATAGGTGGGGGGGGAAGGGAGGGGGAAACAGGCTCTGATGCCTAGCACACTTCACAAGAGGGGAGGGGCAGCAAGGACGGCGCTGCTGCTCATGCAGAAGGCCCAGTGCTGGTCTTGCTGGGCTCGCTGACATGCTGCTTCCTCACGGCCTCCTGAGCCAGGTCACAGGTGATTGTGCCATGAGCAACCTGGAAAGTTCCTGAGTGCTCTGGGGATTCCAATACAGTTGTCATAATTGGATGATTCGACTTCCTGAAGAAGAAGCTTGCCCACCAGTGGCCTGGGTCTGATTTGGGAAGACCAGGATGATGGGGGATCACTTCCCCAGAATACTCAGCACTCCCACAGGAGCCGTTGCAGGAAGTGGAACCCAGACACCTTCGGTAGTAGTCACGGGTTGCTATGAGTGAACCACTGGACGGGATTGCTGTCACGTTGCTTGTTCTTGTCGTGATGATGTAAACCTTAGTGGTGGCTCCTGGGCAGCCCCCTGTCAGGCAGTGGGCTTTGGGGGTGATCACGGGTGACCCGGCTCTGGGGAAGGAGGTGCTAGGCCACAGAGCCCATTTGTAAAGGAGATAACAGGAGGATACTCCATGGCAAGGAAAATGCGAGAGTTCTTTGGGTTTCGATAGGGGGATTTTAGCTGGGCCTCAAAGGATGACTAGAATAGACAGAAGCCAAGAACTGATGGAGTATGCTAGGCAATAAGATGGCATGACCCAAAAACAGCACTAAACTGGAGACGAGTGTCACATGTTTCAGGAATAGTAACCATCCTGACTTGGGTTTGTGTTGAGAGACCTAAAACTGGAAAGTCAGAATGGGGCCAAATTATGATCCCGCTATAAGCCCTTGAATTTCTGAATAAGATACCATTCATGTTTTCAGCCAGGCCGAGAAGTATAAGCACAACATTTTACCAACAAGCTTATATTCTTCTCCCTTACAGTTTCAATCCCTAAATAACATACATTTGTCCAGATGGAAAACTAAGTTCAAATTCATTTTTATGCATGACGTTTGGATAACAGCATAGGTCTCCCTTGGGTTTTAGTTCCACAAAGTTAAAGACTGCACTTCTTAGGAACAGACATTAGCATAAGTAATGCCTTGGAAATTCCCTAATTCTTGATTTAGGGAAGGAAATCTGCAAACCCTCAATGGAAGCTTTATTGTTATTTCACTTTTAAGTATGGTTTTAATTTAGTTAAATCATTCAGATTGTTTCCAGTTGTCTCATTCTGGGACAGACATTCTGTTTGTGGCTTATTCAGGCCTCTGTTTGTGGCTTTATTCATATCCTTGGACTTCTTATTTCTTTTACTTCCATACGATAGTATTTTCAACAGTAGAAAGAGATCCTGATTGCAACTTAGTCTAGCTTGTTTAAACATGTCAGCTAGTTTGGAGTGAAGGGGAAAGATGAAAGGGGAGGAATGTTAACTAAACCTGTGTTGGCCACTTAAGTCAGCCATCTTACCCTTTCAGGAACTGACCATTTCAGAACTCAGAAGGCATTTATTAAGTGCCTACTGTATGTCAGGCACTGGGAATACAAAACAAACAACTAAATGGCTCTGACCCTCAAGGATATCACATTTTACTGAGGGGAAGTTATATCTGCACAGAGAAGTAAGTGCAAAACACAAGTAATTTGGAGTAGAAGAGTATTAACAATGGGGTGAATCTCAAAGGGCCTCTTGTAGAGTCATGTTATCACAGATTTAAGAGGTGGAAGAGACCTTAGAAATCACCCACTTCAATACTTTCATTTTACAGGTAAGGAAACTGAGGCTTTAAGAGATATACTGTAAAATGAGGGGTTCAGTCTATGTGGAGAAATGGCCTCCAAAGTGCCTTTCAGCTCTAAGTAAATCTGTGACTTGCCCACCTGACAATGATTACATGACCAGTAGGTGTCTGAGATAAGAGTTTGAACCCAGGGGTTCAAGTCCAATGTTCTACCTACTACACCACATTAGCATTTAAGCTGAACTTGGAAGGCAGCTGGATCTTCCAAGATTTAGATGTGCAAGAGGACCAGTCTACTTTGTAGTAGGGACATCAGGCTTTGTAGTAGGGAAAGCAGGCTTGCTTTCCCATTGTAGTTAATGGTAGGAGTAGAAACCAGAAAAGCTGAGTTGTTTGAACATGCTGAATTTGGGATGCCTACATCTAATGGGTCTGTTCAACAGATACCAAATGATGTAAGTCTGAAGCTAAGAAACATTAAGATGAGTGTTGGTGCTGGTGTGTGTGGACCTTGAGGGGATGGGAGAAAATTTATTCTTCCATTTCTTTAAGGGCCTTTGGCTTGAATGAACAGAGGAGGGAGCAGTTGTTAGAATGATCCCTCTCATTTTAAGAGGCATTTATTAAGCACCTGCTACATCCCAGGCACTGAGCTAGGGTCTAAACCAAACAGCCCCTGCTCTCCAGGAGTTCACTTAATGTTGGAGGAAAATGACATTCATATTGAAGACTTTAACTAAAATAGGTGGCAAATGATTTCTAGGGGGAGGACAATAGCAGCTGACGGGGGTGGAGAGATCAGAATTGGTTTTCTGTAGACTAACACTGAGCTTTGAAAAGATTTTTGTTGCTGCTGTTCAATTGTATCTGACTCTTAGTGACCCCATTTGGGGTTTTCTTGGCAAAGACACTGGAGTGGTTTGCCATTTCCTTCTTCAGCTCATTTTACATATAAGGAAACTGAAGCAAACAGTTAAGTGACTTGCCCAGTGTCTCGAGGATGGATTTGAACTCAGGAAGCCGATTCCAAGCCATGTGATATATTCCTGTGCCATTTGGCTGCCCTAATGGACGTGGTACTTAAAAAAAAAATTGTCTTTTGTTTTTATATAATCATCGTTTTTTTTTTAATACAGGGTATCCCAAAAGTCTTAGTGCAGCTTAAGTTAGGCTATTAATACTTACAGCTGCACTACGACTTTTGGGACACCACTATATCTCCTATATCTCCTCAGCCTTACTCTAACCAGTGAGCTATTCTTTGTAACAAAGAAATGGGAGGGAGTCAAACAAATTTGAAAGGTGGAAGAAAAGTCTCAGTTCAGCAAAACTAACGAACACATCAGCCGAGTTCGACACCATATTCCATGTTCGACACCCATAGTCCACCACTTCTGCAAAGAAGGGAGGGAAGTGAATTTGCTCCACCCTTCTCGGGTTTTTAGCTTTGTTGTTCTTCCTATTTACGTGGTTGGAATCCCGCTTGGGTTATAAATCTCGTATTAGCTGAAGTGACCCCGACATCCGTCCATTCTCAGTCTGGGCACGGTCTGCTGTGAAGCCCCAGCCCCGGAGGGGCAGGAAGAACCTGGTGTCCTCGTGGCTTCGGATTCGCGGAGGGGGCGAAACTGCCAGAGCAAAAGCAACCTCTCAGGGCCAGGCTCCGCCCTGGGAGCATCTGGGGCCCCAGCCCTACACGTGAGAAGCCACGGACATGCCTCGGTCACGGCCACGGCCAGGAGGGACGCCTCCCTTGCAGAAATGCTGTGCGCCGTAAACCAATACCAAGAAACAAAACTCGAAAAACGCCGAGGGAACGACTGTGAAGTTCCCACCCGCGACGACCTGGGACAGGGAGCCTGGGCCCCTTCGGTTAAACTGCCCAACTGGAAACGGAACCTTTTGGGGCACCGGAGGAGCCGCGACCGAAATACAAGCATTCCATTGGCTTCCGCCAGCAGGTAGGCGGGGCTGGGGCAGCGCACGTTTGGCAATCTCAGTCTCGAAATCCTCCCTGAGACCAACCTCCAGAATCTTCTATGACGATTGGCTTGAGAATAAGTTAATCATTTATCCAACCCCTCCCTCTCTGTCCCCGCCCGTAAATAAGAAACGCCGAGAAGAAGCCGGGAATGTGATTGGCTGCTTTTTAGGACAAAGGCAAACCAAAGCAAGATCAAGCCTATCGATTGGCGGGGGCGGGGGAGAACTCGGGCTCCCTTCCGGGGATTGCTGGAAACGCGAGGAAGGGGGGCGGGGCCGCGCCTACTTCTCCGCTGCCTAGGCGTGCTGCGTTCTGGCGGGCAAGATGTCGGCTTCGCGAGTCCCGGAGCTGAAGCAGATAAGCCGCGGGGAGGCTATGCGTCTCGGGCCCGGCTGGAGCCACTCTTGCCACGCCATGCTGTACGCAGCCAATCCCGGACAATTGTTCGGGCGGATCCCTATGCGCTTCTCGGTTCTGGTGAGGGCGGAGGGAGAGTGAGGCCGGACTTCGAACGGAGGGTGGGCGGGGCCGGGCCGGGCTGAGGCATCGGGAGCCGCGGGCTGAGGCTCTAGGAAGATGTGGGGGGAGCGGGGTGCCGGGCCGGCGTGAGGGGCTGAGGAAGCGTAGGGGCGGGGTCTAGGGACGGGGCCAAGGCGAGGGGGAAGAGGAGTGCCGGGGAAGACCCGAGGAAGGAGCCGGGGCCCTGCCTCTCCGCCCGAGGCTGAGGGCGCCCAGCCCTAGACAGCCAGAGCCGGAGCGAGTCCGGGCCGACCTGGAGGAGGGAGAGCCGCGGTCGGCTCCTGCCGCCGGATGCCCGCCCGCCCGCGCCTCGCGCTCAGTTAACGCTGCGCTTCTCTTGCAGATGCAGATGCGCTTTGATGGGCTCCTTGGCTTTCCTGGGGGGTTTGTGGATCGTCGGTTCTGGTCCCTGGAAGACGGGCTAAATCGGGTGCTGGGCTTGGGCTTGGGCTACCTGCGCCTCACGGAAGCCGACTACCTGAGCTCGCACCTGACAGAGGGCCCGCACCGCGTCGTGGCCCACCTGTACGCCAGGCAGCTCACTCTGGAGGAGCTGCACGCGGTGGAGATCAGTGCGGTGCACTCCCGGGACCACGGGCTGGAGGTGGGCCATCCTGGGGCGGGGAGGCAGCACCCCCACCCCACCCGGGGATGGGCTCGGGGGTGCCGAGCGGATGTCTGTTCGGAGCCGGGGTGCCGGCCTGGGTCTCCGGCTTTAGGCCGTAGCAAATTCCGGTGGAGCACAAAAGGCTTACAAGGATCAGCCGGTTTCTGTGCATTGGTTGGCGGGGGAGAAAGGGTGGGAGCAGGGCTTCTTGTTGGGCCAGGTGTGTTACATCCGCTATGCTTCTTGCCATTGCCGACCTGGGAATGGGGAGTAGATTGATTGTGTGGGACCAGGTTTACAAGGGAGTTTACTTGAGTTGGGGAACAGGGCATCGCCTATGCAGACAATAGGTGGGAAATGTAGGGGTGGGATTGGGAAGGTTTTTGTGGGATAGAGGAGATTGTATGAAATGGTTGTAAATGGCTGTATAGTTGGTGGGATGTATAGAGAGTGAGGAAAGGGTGTTGCATTTGGGTGTGTTTGGGACTTGGGCTGGGGAAAGGGGAATCATAAGGGTCTTAGGGGTGTTTGGAGTTTGTAGGCTAGGAAAGCAAAGGTTTGGGAGCTTCCTAGAACAGGGCCTGTATAACCAAAACTTGGAATTCAGGAAGGTATGGATTTGTAAATTGATGTGTAAATTGATCCCCTCAGCTAAGGAACGTCATAAGAAACCTTGAAATGACTTTCCTATAAAATTAGTTTCCGAAGGGGTAATTGGAACCTTGGATTCAAGCCTTGCTGTCTACAAGTGGTTAACAGACTTGTGTTTCATCAGACTGATGCCTTGTGTCTGCCTCTGAGCCCTTGGCATACATTGCTGCTTTTTTCACTGCCCTGGAAGCTGGATGTGGCTTCCAAGCTAAGAGTTCCAGGCCCCTCTCTCAGCAGGAGGGGGCCCAGCCTAGTTGTCTAGCTGGGTTCCTGATTGCCCTATCTGCTCTTGTTGCAGGTGCTGGGCCTGGTCCGTGTTCCCTTGTACACCCAGAAGGATCGAGTTGGTGGGTTCCCCAACTTCCTTAGCAATGCCTTCATCAGCACTGCCAAGCACCAGCTGCTCTTTGCCCTGAAGGTGCTGAACATGATGCCTGAGGATAAGCTGGCTGAGGCCTTGGCTGCTGCTACTGAAAAACAGAAAAAAGCCTTGGAGCAACAACAGACAGCTTCAGCATGAAGCTATAGATCTCCATCCCTTAGGCTGGGTTTTCTCTCCTAATCTCTTTTCCCTGCCCCATCTTTTTTCCAAATTCTCCATGCCCCAGGGGCTGAGAAAAGACTTGAGATAATTCATTATCCCTTAGAGATGTGGGGTTTCTCCCATTACTCGCTCCCCCCTCAATGACTGAAAAGGAGTGCATTTCATTCCTGCCTTCAACCCGTGCATAGTCCTCTTTTCTTTGGCCTCATTGCAAAGCAGCAGCAGCAGCAGCCTGGGCTGGCACATCAGGTTTGTGTAGAGAGGTATATAAAGGTCACAGGGTAAGGAGCAGCACCTGTCCAAGGTTTTGAGTGACCCATTTATTAGCACTAGCTTCAGTGTTTGGCCTTTGGGGTCAAGGTGAAGACCTTAACATTTCTCTGCATGAATCTTTTGTTTGGGGGGGGGCAGTTGTCAGTTTCGTTCAGGCCCCAGATATAAGGGTGTTCTGGTTAGAAGGGTTCCTTAATTCTCAAGGATGCTTTTGGTTACGTTGGCATATTCCTGCTTGTTCCATTTCCTCAGCCCAGAGAGAGGAGAGAAGAAATCAAGGTTTTGGTGGGATGTGGCTGGGGCTTTTTTGGTTCTTTCCTTATTTTGGAATTGTTAGGTTTTATACTCATGTGGAATATGGGATTTTAAAGTACCTTGTACCTTTAAAGTAACTTTTACCTTGCCTCTGCCTATTTTGAAAGAGCTTTAGGCTGACTAGGGTGGATAGGAGGGGATGCTTCTTCCCTGAAAGGCTGGGAAGACTGGAAAAGGGGTAAGACTTGGCAGTGTGTCTCTGTGTGTGTGTCCATCTGTGTGTGTGTGCGTGCTGGCCTGCTCTTGAACTCACCCCCTCAAGTGCAAATCTGAGCAGGAAAGAAAAATAAAGTAGCTTGACAGCTCTTCAGTGTGGCCCTCCTTTTATCTTCAGCAGAGGGGATGCTACAGTCCCCATCCCTGGGATCCTGGCACTGTTCCTAGCTGAGTGTGCCAAAGGTTAGGCGATAAGTCTGTGAAGATGGCTATGTTTTCTTAGGATTGGACTAGGTAGTCATCACTGAATAATCCACATCCTTTCAAATCCCTGGAAGTGTATATTTTTAAGAAAGCTGATAAGGACTGTGGGGGCAGTATAGCTTTGGACTTAAGAGTTTTTCTTTGTTCAGAGCTGGCTGTATCAAACTTGTGACCTTGGCTCTATCAGGTGAAATAATGCTTTGACTCTGGGACACTGACGGCGAGAGAACTTAGCCAGGTCACAAAGAAAGAAAGGCTCAGTTGTCTTACAGTTTTGAGTAGGAAGAAATGAGAATCGGGTTGTGCTGATACATTCACTGGCTTATGAGAAGTTGGGTACTGGGTTCAGGACATTTTAAGAGGGTTATGATGTAGGTCTGACATTTCTGCATGCTTGACAATCCTAATGACTGCTGTACTGGACTTTGAAGGCATCTGTTAATTAAATCTCAGTCTTCCTTTCCTCATACTGACCAAGCTGAAAAGAGGGGGACTAGTCAAAGCTATTGTAGCTGTTCTATCTGTTCAAGGCCAGTGACCATCAGCTTTTCTGTAGTTATGACACTCTTATTTAGTTCTAGAATGTTTCTTTTACCTCCCCCTCACACTTAACCAAACAAAGTCAAATCCTACAACCTGTACCATATTTATTTTTTAAGTTGTAGTAAAATCTAATTCTGTGAAAACTCTGGAATGAATGAAGTAGGGAGTTGACTGGGCTTGCAAAAAGTAGCTTAAGGCATTATTGCACTGGGCAAATGCCAAGTGCAAAATAAGGCTAGAAAAAATGGTCACTTAGAGAACTAAGCAAAAAAGGGCCACAGCTTAGGTGATTCGGAATGCACAAGCAGAGGGGATTGTCAGCCTCGTATCATTTATTGGGTAGTGTGGCCTAGACTATAAGGAAAGTCATGTGGTCCCAACAAAGCATCCATGTTGTTCTCTTGTCTTGTAAAGAAAGAAGACTGATTTTTCCTAGGCTAGTGGTAGGAGACCTTTTACAATTCAGGAAATTATCTCTGGTGGAGAAAGAGAAATCTAAAGTAATGACAGTTACTAGGAAGCTAGATAACAGCAGGCATGGTAGACCCAATTGAGAGTAATACTTGTTATGTGTAACTAGCTATCCCAGATGGGAACTAACCTATGTTAGTTTAACATAATTTAAACTGTGGGGGCAGAAAGTAGCCACGATGAGTTTTTAACATGTAGTGAGGAATAAGAAACAGAGAAGGAGGTAGGTGGCATATATTACATGCCAAGAACCACAAAAATAATGAAGACAGGTACTAGGGTTGGACTAATAAGCTCACAAAGAGACTCCAGGCCATGTAGTAGTCTAGTTTATTGTGGCTGGGTGACCTTGAAGCTATAGGACATGATGAACATAGCTCCAGGCTCACATCTTTCCTCACTATTCCCTTTAAAAGACTGGCATTTAGTTTTGCAGAGATCTAGTTCTATGAGACCCTAAACACATCCTTAGGGTTTGGTTTAGCTCACAGCATGGCTAAGTCACTGTGTTGAGGTGGGCAAATACAGCTGAGAGGGGTAAGGGAGATATGAGAAATCTGAGCCAAGAGAGAAAAAGCCTGAGGGCTGACATAAGAATTTATAAGTTTTGTAAAAAAAAAAAAAAAAAAAAGAATTTTGTGGTCCTATCTCCCGATTTAATAAAATAATTTTTCCTTGGACACCTGTGTGTTCTTTGCCAGCCTAATCAATCAAGCCAGGTTGTTGGTAGTAATAAAAAGGTTTCTCTCTCCCAAAGGTAGGAAAGTGCAAGGATTTCCCTCTGTGTGCCTCCGAAGGGGCTCTCCTAATCCCACTGACAAAAATACAGGATGTTCACTGTGCAAGCCGGGTAACAAGACTTTTGTAGGGATTCATCTTGGGCTCAGAGATTAAGACTTTTATTTGCAAAAAAGTCTAGAGCCAAAATATGGACAAAACTAGTGCTTTAAAGTGTCTTGATTTTCCCCTCCCATTAAGCCTCCCTCCTCAAGGTACATCTGCTTCCCCACTACTCAGTCCAGCTTAGGATATCTATCAGCCTGGAAGGGGACCCTTCTAATTCTTGTTTAAAGAATCTGGGACTCCACACATATCCAGCTCTCAAAAGAGGGGTATGGCCCTGGAGCAGCATCTGCCTAAAGGGAACCATTAGAAACCTGGTGTGGTAAATACTAGTGGTTGGCACCAATAAGTTGGAACCCCAGAGAGGATGGAGGGAGTGGAAAAAGCAAAGGTTTAGCCTGTGGTGCACCCTACCTGAAAGTCAGCAGCCACCCATAGGGAATTTTTGCTGGCAAATTGTGTTCTTAAGAGCCAAAATGTGACAGTGAGTCTAATGAATTGCTGACAAATTCAAGTTTTATTTTACAGAAAACAAAGAAAAATCCAGATCTGGGTCCCTGTGTTAGTATCCAAACTAAAGCCCAAGGAGCCACCTGCTGTGGGAAAATAAATGCTTTATAGCAGCCACCTGCATCTAGGATTTGTCTTTGTGCTGCAGGAATGTATCTGGCCTCTTTAAGTCTGAGAAGGAAGCCCACAACTGAGACATTTACATGCCATTTGATAGGCTCTCCTTCATCTGCTGCACCTTGTTCTTCTTCAGTGCTCACAACTGATACGCCCTCCCTCAGTGGGTGGGGCCTGCTCTCTGGCCTGAGGATGGCCTTGTTTCCTGGGCTCCTGGCAGCCTCACTCCACCACCCCCCTCAGGGTGTTGCAAATAGAGAGGGATGGAACTCTTGGCCCCAACCCATTTATTCTTCCAGGCACACAGTTTCAGGGTGGAATGGTCACCCGACGTCAATTTCTGGAAAGCAAGTTGATGATGATATAGGTCTATGCCAAACAAAAAAAAAATTAGCACATGTCTATACATTTAGGTTATAGAAGAAGTCTCAACCTAACTTGCACTAACACTTTTCTCTCCCCTTCTAGTGCAATTTGGCCCTTTAAAAGGGTCCCTAAAACTACAGGGCCCCTTTTTACAACTGGCTTAACTTTAAAAAAATAAATAAATAAAAAATAAAAATCCTGTCAGCTGATTGAGCTACCAGCCTCAAACAATTCAACTTCACACGTTCCTGTTTCAGTGTAAAGAGATGACCTGTCTGTATTTTACTTGGAGTTTAATGTGTCTTCAACACTCACCATCATGTTTGGTTATGGTTCTCTCCAATTCTGCTTCCCATTTAGGACCTGCACCTTTTCGAGGCTCTGGTTCATGGAACACAGAGCTTTTCCTAAAGAGAAAAAAAAAAATTAGTTTTTTTACTCTTTAATAAGAAAAAGGGGAGCTATCGGGGCAGAATTTTTGGCAGGGAACTGGCCCCACATACATCCTTTTAGATGAAAGGCTAAAATGTGATGCCAAGTGTATAAAAGAGTAACTTCCAATTTTGTGGTGGATAATTGTGTCCAATTCTTTAACAGAAGACTAGACTTATACAGGGAATAAGTGCCTCCTGTTAGAGCTTCCTCAAATTCTCTAGGCCCCTGGAGAACTTGTCCATGGTAACTGCCAAGTTCAGTGGTCTTGCTGTTTAATCAAGTGGGGTTGCTACCCACTTAAGGTCAGTAGATAAAAAAAGTACTTCCAAGGATGACATAGATAAGGTAAGGTATATTACAACAGAATTTCTGGAGATCAGCTTAGTTTCCAGAACTGCCCTTCCCAATAGAGCTGTGCAAATAATAGAGGGTCTCTGTCTCTGGACATGGGTAGTGTTTTGGTTAGAGCAATACTAGTACTTAAGGTTGTTGTGAGGATCAAATGAGAACAATGTGCAAATGTTAAGGTGCTATATAAAATACTAGTTGCTATTATGATTATACCTGTACTGCATAAAGCCCTCATACATTTGTAATCAGATTTACTACCTGTAGCACCCCTGAGAGACGGCCATTGTCATCATTCAGTAGAATGTACCATATAAATTCTAGCCAATTTTTTTACATATTCAAGATTGCTAACTTAAGACAAAAGGTTTTAAATATTTGAACAAAAAACCCTTGTACGATTTTGACAGTCCCTTTTATATAATTAAAGAGTTGGTTTTAATGTAGACAAGTAACTATGGATGTTACTTAACATCTGAACCTTGCTTCCCTCACCTGTAAAATGGGGATAACTACTTAAAATCATCGATCTCAGATTCGTGAAGAATCCCTCTGCAAAACCTTCAAGTATTAACTATCATGTGCTATAGGGTATTCCCTTCAACACTTGAAGATTTAAGCCTCTCAGTTTTCTCTTCCATCAGTCTTAGGATTAAATTTTTCATAGCTTCAACAAACTGAAACAATGCCTGCTCTGTGCAAAGCACTATCAGATGTAGAGAATACAAAGACAAATGGAACAGTTCTTGCCCTTATGGAGCTGAATGCTAGTGGGTTCTTTTCCTTTAAAAAAAATCTGCCTTCTTAGCTCTTCAGTCCTTTTTACTGTTCTATCAAATTTCAGTTTCTTAAAAAGCCTTTTTAGATATGGGATGTGTGCTCTGAGAAAAAAATCACTCAAAAGGGCCAGATGACATGCAACTCTTCTCCACTGTATTAGAAACTCACCCATGTTGCTGATACAGTCCTCTAGGGCTCCTAATAACTCAGACATGCTCATGGACTTCAGAGAAGCCTGCCATCCTTTGAAACCTGAAGGAAGAAAGAGTCCAGTATTTGCCTTGGGTACCCTGTCATTCTAAAGCAGTGATAGGTATAACATTAACATGCCTCTAGTTAACAGTAAGCAGTAGTCACCAAAAAACTATTTGACATTAGATCAAATATAAAGCAAGTCGGTGCAGCAAACTGGTCCCGGCACCTGTAGGAGGAACCTAGCGAATGGATTTGGAGCTCTATTGTCGGGGAAATTGCTCCAGTTAGCTGAAGAGTTCCCTTGCTTTAGGGGCCCCCACAGCCAAAGTCTTTTCAGGCTACAATGTTCCCTCAATGTCTGTTCCTTATCAAGTTTGCTCCATTTCTTGGACCCCTTCTGCACTTTCTTCTCAACATCTAGCAACAGGATACAGCTGGACAATGTAATTCAGCTCCTGAGTACTATCTCCTTGATAATGGACAGATCAAGGCTGTGTTGGGGAGGGGAGTATAAGTTGTGCTTAGTGCCTCTTATTTCAACCATGAAGGTCCCTACCTCAGAGATCAGATCCTTTTGAATGTGAGCTTTCAAGGAAACTGGTTTCTCAGGTTACAAGAGTATCTGCATGCTAATTATTATAACTCATCCTGACTTGCTTGACTGAGTAAAGTGGGGTAAGGAGGTGGGTAGAATGACCGAAGGGAAATGAGTGGAGGTTATTCTACCAAAGGTGATGCATGGCTGATAGCAAGCAGAATTACCAGTTGTGGGTTGCCTACTTGTGGTCTGAGAGATAGATACTAAAGGCATCTCCAAAATAGGTAACTGGTCCAAAAGTTCTAGAGTTAGAAAAAAGTTTGACATGATTGCCAGCTGACTCTTGTTACAAGCTAATTAGAAACAATTAGCAAAATATCAATTTATCAATATAACAGGTGATCCCTAAATCTTTAAGAGGGATAATGGATATTTCAATGAAGAAGCCTAGCTGTGATAGATTCTGAGAGCCTAAGGAACAGCATGCGCATTGGGCATAAAAAGACTTCTGGAGGAATGGTAAAGACTAAACATTTTGCCTTGGGCCCCTTCATCTGGAGAATGTACTTGCTCTTGGTCTCAAGAAATCTGCTAGCAGCTGTGGTTGCTACTGAAGATTCTGATAACTGTGACCACATAGATCCTTTTCCCTCTGTCCCTAACAGTACACTTTTCTTAGATGTGGACTTTTTTATCTACCAGTTTCTCCTAACCAGCAAACTGAATGATTACACTGAGAGGATGAGTTTTTTAGGAAGATTATTTACAGAAAGCAGCAGCTAATTGTTTACAGACTTAATAAATAAAAAAATGTAGGGAGCAGAGCAGAAGGCACTAGTACTTTAGAATCAGTGCTGTCTACAATTTGCTTTAGACAGTAATTCAAAGCTTTTAACTTAGCTTTATTTGCACCGGCCTATTTTGTCTCTCCCTACTTCCCAGGTTGTTTAGAACAAATATTAAGAATTAGCATGACTTTGTCTTATAACATAATTTGAAGAATATAGGGCAACATGCCAAGAATCAAAGGATGATTCAACATCAGGAAATAATCACATGATTATTGCAATGGATTTAAGAAAAGCCTTTGACAAAACATAGCATTCATTTAAGGACCTAAAAGTACAGGCAAGGAAAAGTCCTTCTTCAATATGATCAAATTCATATTTAAAATTAAATGTAGGGGGCAGCTAGGTGGGTGCAGTGGATAGAGCACTGGCCCTGGATTCCAAAGGACCTGAGTTCAAATCCGGTCTCAGACACATAACACTTACTAGCTGTGTGACCCTGGGCAAGTCACTTAACCCCCACTGCCCAACCAAAACAAACAAACCAAAAAACCCTACATGTATAAACACCAGAAACTTTCACAGCACAAACTGGGGCAAAGCAAGGATTCCTATCTCCTCAGTTCTAGATTTGATGGTTGTAGCAATAAGACAAGGGACCAATATTAAAAGTGGCCAGCAAGGAGGAGACAAATTCACCCCCATTTGCAGATGGCATAATGCTTTAC